GCCCTTTTTTGGCGGGTCGGTCGGGTGAGGGCAAACAAACAATATTTTTATTATGGTCTAATACTTCGTGGGGAGAGAGTGAGTGTATCTCATACCGGAGTGAAATAGTGTAGCTGTGAGAGCACTGAGGGTGTCATACCATCAAGAGCAGATAATAGCTGATAATGCTGTACGATGTGTTTATGTGTGTGATGCGTAGTAGCTCTGTGCTAGTAAGATTATTTGGTGTTTATTTGCATGTTATCAGATCTGAAATTGTGTGCTCTTGATACGGTGTCTGTCTGAGTGTCAGTATGTTGCAGTGAGGGCCTCGTACCTCATATTTGATGTATGAGTTTTGGTTCTGTATCTGTTATGGATATGTAGATTGTATCAAGAACACATAATTTTATGCGCCCTTTAATTGTATGCACGATGCAGTAACAGAGATGCCAACCACTACGATTTATCCGTATTTTATACGAATTTCGTTTGCATTTTGACCACTACGACCAGTTTGCATACAACTACGATTTTTATTACGATCGAAAAAAAATCATTTTGATCATATTTCAAGTGTTTTGTATCAGTGTTACATTGATATAACATGATTGAAAATAACTACATGTATTTAGCAGCAAATATCAGTGTGAACTTATTGTCATTTTGGGTCCCAGAATGCAGGAAGTTGCATCTCGGAATCAAAAAATTTCCGGGGGGTGCATGTCCCGAACCCCCTAGCATACTCGGGTCACTGCATGACCCTCGGACTACAGATTTCAGACATCCTCACTACAGTTTGCTCAGAAAAGTGTTGGCATCTCTGCAGTAAGGATGAGATGCAGAGACACCAGCTATATCATGTAATATCAGGTCTAGTGCAACCACTGACAGCATAAATGTCAATGTACTTGTCACACCTGTCTCGACCGCATTGCTAAATATATGCACCGAGATTTCTCTAACGAAAGCGTTGTCGTCGTGGCAACTTCAGGTTCACGGCCGCGTCGTCGTGGCGACGCCGCTGAAGGGCTGCGGAGCGCTGGCCAATGCTGATGAAATGAAAGGAGCTATCGGCATCGTCGAGCGCGGCGACTGCATGTTCGTTGAGAAGGCGAGGAACCTCGTGAAGGTGGGCGCCATCGCCGGCATCGTGCTAGGTATGTTCTCTTGTCATCGCTGGCGTCGTGCTAGGTATGTTCTCTTGTTATTGCCGGCGCCGTGCTAAGTATGTTCTCTTGTTATTGCCGGCATCGTGCTAGGTACGTTCTTTTGTCACGCTGGCATCATGCTAGGTATGTTCTCTTGTTATTGCCGGCATTGTGCTAGGTACGTTCTTTTGTCATGCTGGCGTCGTGCTAGGTACGTTCTCTTGTCAACTCTGGCGCAGTGCGAAGGTACGTTCTTTTGTCATCGCCGGCATCATGCTGGATACGTTATTTTGCCATTGCCGGCATCATGCTGGATGCGTTCTCTTGTTTTCGCTGGCGCCATACTAGGTACCGCTGCAAACTCTTGGCATTTGGCATGGTAGCATTGGATCGTACAATTTATTTCTGTGTCTGCATTTTAGTATTTATCGTTACAGAGGTGAACTTATACGTTCGATCACGGTTCCTCACGGACGGATCACCCTTTATCCTACATGTCTTCGTTGCAGACAACAACCTCGGCACTAGCAGCAGTACAGCGCCGATGTTTGCAATGTCGGGCGACGGCAGCAAGGACATCTTCATCCCCATGGTGTTTCTCTTCCAAGCCGAGAGTCAGATCTTGCTGCACGCGCTCGGCACGCACACAGACCTGCAGGTTCTCATGACGGACGCAATCCCGACGAGCGGCGCTGCCGGCACTGCAGGTGATCGATCGCCGGAGACGCGACCTGGCATGCGCGCGCGCGTGCGCACCCCGATTGTACATTGCCTCAAATTACCAGATTCATCATTAGAATATCGTCGACATCATCAATATATATATATATATATATTCACAACGTTTGGAGCGGGCTTGGACAAAAACTCGTATTAAATTGCGAGCTTGCACGTTTGTGGGTGTGCATGGTTTTGAATATATGCGTAGCATTGTAGGGCGCGAAATCAATCGGTATACAGTAAAACCCGTGCTAGCAGTCACTGCTTTAGAACTACACCCATCTATAAAGAAGGCTTTGCGATTATTTTAAGCGGCAGTTATATCATGAAACCACCTGTATTATATAGAACGAAACCTCTCTGTAAAAGGGCACTCATTTCCCTTGAGTAATCCGTACGTATAGGTTTGACTGCATTGAGATCGTTCTCATACCAATAACTTGAAAAATGGTACACACGGCTTCTCTGCTTAGCATTCAGCAAATAGAGATAGAGTGTGGCAAATGGCAAGTGATGGTGTCACGATAAAAATACCCGGCCCGGAGGACGCCGAACCCGGACTAGTATAGCCGTGTAAAGAACAAATGTTCCCGACTCAAGGAAGCATCGTCATGCCAACCTTGGTCGACAATAAAAAAAGAAGAGAGATCGCTGTGGTGCATCACCTCATGCTTTACTGTATACCGATTGATATCGAGCCCTACAATGCTACGCATATACAAAGACATGCGTACACCCACAAACGTGCAATGTCATTGCTGTTTTATTAGAAAAGGGCAGCAAGTTGGCAGACGACACACTATCGGCAAGGACTGACGGAGTGACGGTGCAGATGGTGGACATTGATGACGATGGAACCCGCCTCATAAACACCCAGAAGCGGTTCTTCATCGCAGACGAAGATGACGTGAGTAGTGCACACTCGCTGGAGTGCTGTGAGCGGAGAGATAAGTTGTTTTTATTTAAGCAAAGCGCTTTGCAAAATATCAAATCTTCCATTTATTTAGCCGATTTCGTCAGAGCGCTTTGGTCGTTTCGCTTCCACCAAATCGCTGATCACGTGGTTTAGCAAAGCGCTTTTAAACGCGCTGTGCGCTTTGGCTTAGATAAAAACGCCTATAGTGTCAGCCGTCAGTGATACCGAAGGAGTAGTGTCAGTCTACACTGCATCGCATTGCTATATAATAATATATAATAAATAATATATATGGAGAATATATATAGGCCTATATAATAATGTAGAATATATTATATCCAGAGGCGCCGACTATAACAATAAATTAATTTATTTAGTGTTCTTGTCATGATGTGCAACATTGTGTGTATTAACACTTTATAACAGTTACGTAACACAGATAGTGACAGAACCTTCGTTTTAGGTCATGCAGTCTAATTAGTAGCTGCATGCTCCACCCAATCAGAGATCGACTTGCAAAAACACAACCAAGGCTTGTTTAGTATACAAATCTACATCACTACACATACGCAAGTTTGAAGGATTACATGGTGTAACCTAGAGTAAACTGAAACTGTGATGATCAATGTTAATAATATAACCGGTGTTATTTCTAAACGCATGGTAGGTAAGTTCGATTTACGGTCTACGTATTTCTACTATAAACGTAATACCTGTCCATGGATGCCATAATTATAAGATGTCATAATGCGCGAGCATAGGCCTACTATTAATGCTGTGTATTTGCATAGTACATTATATAAAGCCACATTTAAAATATAAGGCAATAGGGTAATTAATGATATAGCTAACCCCGAGTGCTGTCACTAAGCGGACACAAGCTGACAGCAAACTCTTCTAACGATTCTAGTTAGAAAAAAAGACAAAAGATCGTATTTAAACTGGCTAACCTACTAAAATGGTACTTTCGTGTGCTTTTCCTACTCATTATTGCGCGCAAAACACGAAAACTTACAGGCGGATGTAACCACAGATACGCACCCGCTCATATTCTTCTCACAACCCCATAGATATCTGCGTGAGCACGCGCGTGGCGCCCTTACACTCTTACACATACCGTACTACTCCCCCATTAGGCGTTAAGCCCGATAACACGGGAGAACCTGACAATTGCTAGCATGAGACGATAAAGGTGAAACAGGATGCAACCGAGCAGCAAGCTAAAGGAAGAATTTTCTGTTGTTGGGTAGGAATCAATTGCTAAGGGCAAACAAGTGCTGGTGCTTTTCTTGCAACGCGGTCGCTCGCGGCAACGGTGCAATGCGTATGCCAACACGGACTTACTCTCAGCCTGTATGCTCCTTATAATCTAAGCGAATAAATACTTTATGGAATGGAGACAAAACCCTTTCAGGGAATTCCCCGATGATCGTACATTGCCTTTTGCACCGATCCCCATCACAATACAAAAGCTACCAGATCACGATGTGATGTGTGGTACACATGTAATCAAATCATACGTAGCTTTTTGTCGCCAGCATAACTTAACATTATGCTTTATTGTCTAGGCCCAACGGCCAAGCGTTTAAAGTAATTACTACACGCTGGCACTCTCAAGACAATTTGCTAGCTCATATGCTTTCTTTTCTAGATTGCCTCGCGTTTACAGCACTAGAAATATTTCTAACGCGATATTAACCGCTCCTATGAAATCAAAGCGCGTAGCTTTATTGACCAGGCATGCGTATACGAGTATGTTGTAAGAATTGTGCATGAGATGGACAAATCCAAAATGTATTTTGCAATAAACTTTGAAAATCGCAAAGCAATATTCTATGGAAATGGTTTAATAGGTTCCACTACGATTCTTTAGAATAGCTGAGAATCACGTCAAAACGATAAATGATGCGTCATATTATCACCTTCTTTGTGTGTCTACATAACGTCTATCCTTATTACAAACTTATATATTCTGAGCGCATTCTTCCTCCCAACAAAAGTGTCATACGAAAGCTGTCGTTTCTCAAAAAGATGCTACAGATATGCATTCAGACCGTACAGCGACGCTCCATAGAAAATTATTCATCAAATATTCAAAGCACGAACAGATAATGGTATTTGTGTAAAATTTCACACCCCGCTGAAGCAATTAACTCGTCCGTATTTACTTACAATTCTTATGGGTATCTTTTAAAAGTCGTCACAATATGGTTTGCACAAAAACTCGGGGAATAAAGATGCCTTATAATGGCGACAGTATTCGAAAAGCAATTTGCCTTTAAAATGTACTGCACCTTTGTAATGTCTCCTGTGATCCAACACGGTTTTTTCATTTTCTACCCGCATGAATATTAATGCACGCGGACAAAAGTAGAAATCTTAGAGCTGCTGCCTCAATTGCCCGACTGTAATCACATGCACGGGCATATATAAAATATTAAATAACAAGCAAACAGCAGATCTATTTGTTCTTGAATGGCCTCAGTGTGATGACTCTTGAGGCCTTGTATATATACCTTTCCTTTCATTCGTCCAAATTAATCTTAGACAATACTGGCTGCACGAATCTCGTACACTTTCTTTGTAAGTCACAGCATTTCAATTCCTATACCATACCCAAGATTCAGCATGCTCGAGTTATCTATGTAAAATAGGGGAAATGAAAACCTCTAATTGGGACTCTCCGTGAGCTTTCGAGAAATGTAATAATTAATCAAGAAGTCGAGGAAATGCACCAAACAGCATTACACACAAACTATTAGAAAACGTAAAAACGATGATGTTACGAATATGATTAACGTGAAACCCACGTTTTCTTTTTACATAGCAATCAACCATCATATACACTGCGCATACACAGCAAGGTACTCGCCGGTCGAGAGAGTGACATCAGTCGGGCAGGAACTATACGTACGCTAATACACCACACGCGCCACCCACCACACCCACCACACGAACCACAAACCCACGCACCCAGTCCCCACCTAACGACCCACGATCCATTAAACCGTGCGTCCTCCCGTCCGTCCGTCCTCCCGTCCTTCCATTCATCCATCTATCCATCTACCCATCCATGCATCCATCTATCTATCCGTCCATCTATCCGTCCATCCATCCGTCCGTCCATCCATCCGAACCACGCGCTACTTTTTCTGATCTCCTCGTTCCTCTTTTCTTCAAGCGCCCCCCCCTCTCTCTGCTCTCTTCGCTTCTCTCTAACCCCTACATGAAGCCATCCTCCATAACTTCCCCTAACTAGCCTTCGCGGCTCGGTAGAGGTTGTGAATGTGTTGATTGATTGTATTTGTTGATTGGTGTGGTTGGTATGGATGGATGGGATGATTTGGGTGGATGGATGGATGGATGGATGATGAGTGGATGATGGATGATGGTATGGTGGATGATGGATGGATGGATGATGGATGGATGGAATGGATGGAATGGATGGATGGAATGGATGGATGGATGGACTGGATGGATGGGATAGGGCAGCGAATTGATGGATGGAGTGGGATGAATGGATGACTGGATGGATGGATGGATTGGATGGATGGAGCTGGATGGATTGCGATGGATAGATTGGATGGATGAATTCGATGGATGCGATGGAGCTGGATGGATCAGATCTGGATGGATGGATGGATGATGGAATGGATGTGATGGATGATGGATGGATGGATGGATGGATGGATGGATGGATGGATGGATGGATGGATGGATGGATTGGAATGGGATGGAGGATGGATGGATGGATGATGGATGGATGGATGATGGCATGGATGGATGGATGATGGATGGAGTGGAAATGGATGAATAGGATGGAGTGGATGGATGGGATGGATGGATGATGGATGGATCGGAATGGATGGATGGATTGGGATGGAGTGGATGGATTGGATGGATGGTATGGATGGATGAGGATGGCATGGGAATGATGGATGGATAGATGGATGGGATCCGGATGGATGGGATCGAATGGATTGATCGAGAGATGAGATATGGATAAATGGATTGTGAAGTGGCAATAGGATGGATGGAATTGAATGGGATGGGATGGAATGGGATTGGATGGATGGGATCGGATGGGCATGTGATGGA